AGCTGGAATTCAATAAACGTGTTAAAGGAATAAACATGAACCTTATAATCACATAGTAGGACAGGGAAAAGGAACACCACAGAGTCCATAAATGTGAAGGTTCACTCACTAGAATACTGTCTACTCTATGCTCCCGATACACCTGGGCCTCCACATTCTGGGTAACGGACTTTACTGAGTCTCATACTCCACCCAATTTCTTTTCTACCACTAGCAACCAGAGGCTATAAATCAGCAGCCAGTAGGAATGACAGTCCTACCAACAGAAACAGAAGTGTTTTGTTAGACCCCCATGGTATTATTTAAAAATACTAAATTAGTTGGTGGAACCTAAAAGTCGATAGATTTTACATAAAATTGTAAACTTGCAGCCTATCTTAAAAAATACATAATCAGATGTGACAAGAGGGGCCCTGAGGTCCCACTCGCACCCCCGGTGCTGGGTGCTGAGTCTGAGCTGCAGCGCCTCCCTTCCCCCGAGAAAGGCCCCAGACCTGTTTCACTGGGCTGTGACTTGCCTGACGCTGAAGGCATTTGCGTGTGCGACCTCTGCTGGAAGGCTACCAAAAAGCACTCAACATGGAGAAAAAAAGAAATGCTCCCTGAGATTTATTTCCATCGTGTTCAGGCTTTTCCTGGGAAGAATAATATATTCACTTTGGTAGAACTCTGGTCTGACAAACCATGGCCCAGTAAGCATTATTCCAATGCCCTGAAAGAGCTATGAGCTTAATTCCCTGCCGGTCGAGGACGCTGAGAATGCTTCATGCCAGAGACAGGCCTGAAGATGAATCCTTAGAAGCTGGGCATCAGCTGGTTACAGTCCCTGCTAACTCGGAAAGAAGACCATGCGTTACCTCTAGGAACTGATGAGACGCTCAACAGCCAAGCTGGGAAAAAGAGAAGGAATGGTGGGAACCTGGTGCCCGAGAATGCGTCAGGATCACGTCAGGAACGGCACTCCTGGGACAAAGGAGAGGCTGCTGACGCCGCTGCGCTTATGACCCATGGTAATAAATAGACACTTAACCATCCTTGCACCTTTAGCCAGTCCCTCAAGATTCCAGGCACGAGGTGGTCTCACCCAGGGCCTGGAGACATGGACAAGGAGAAGGGGCCCATCTCACACTGAAAAGTCCTCCGTTCAGGGTGTACCCCATAGAAAGGAAGGGTGCTTAACTGCCGGGCACCTTCCAAAAATGCAAAAGTCCACACTCGATTAGGAGAATGTTTTAATCATGGGAGGGAGAGGATATTACAAGCAGTACAGTGGAGACGCATGAGAACAGACAGACCTGAACTCCAGTATGGAATCCTCTGTACCTTCAGAAAATTAATTAACTTTTCTCATCTGCTTATTCCAAATCATTAAAATAGAAATGATGCCATCTGCCTGGGCACAGCACAGGGTTGCTGTGAAGATTCAGTTCAATCATTCATTCACTTGTTTCAAAATTATTCATCGAGCATCATCTGTTAAGTGCCAGGCACTTAGGTCCTGGGGATAAACTATGAACACCGAAAATGCCACAGAGAGCCGGTGCTTTATGCTAATGACAGATTTAGACAAAGAAGACCCAGGTCATCTCCTAAACCTGATCGTGCATCACTTTTCCCCAGCTGACACACTCATCTCCAACTTTACTTATGATTAATCGGTATCAGAGCTCTTCCTCCAGACATATTTCTTCTTAAGGCATATAAAACGCATTGTGCTAAAAAGAAAAAAAAACTCTAAAAAGTTTAATTCTGATCCTGAAAACATGAAACCAATTGTTCTGAGAAGAAGTGAGGCCACAAGGAAGATTTCTTGTGGAATAATCACAAGGAGTTACCACCTCCTCATTTAATGTTTAGCATAGGTAATTCACACAGACATACACAAACTGCAATTAAGATAGACTAAGTGAAATTTGCAGAAAGGGCAAATTAAGTAAACCTATCCACTTTTCACCAGTGTTTTAGAATTGCCAAAATGTCCTTTACATACATTTTCTCACTTCCTCATAATAATCCTTTCATCTTTATTTTGCCGATCAAGAATCCCAGGGTCAGAGAGAAAAATCATTTGCTTAGGACTCTGGGGCAAGACACTTGCTCCAAATCTAGCTTGCATTCTCCCCATTCCCCCACATTGGAAAAAGACAACTTTGCTAGGGAGCATTGGATAGCAAAGTTATCCAACAGATAACACTTTGGGAGGAGCGAAACTGGCGCGAGGTACGGCAAGGCCACCACCATTGTGAGGTTGAAGGAAGATTTTTATACCAAGTGATAAGGAATAGCCTAGGTCTTTTCCAATACCAACTGGAAAGTTACTGCATTTCTCATACAGCAGCTAGGAAGTTGCTACTGTCCACTTTGCTTTCCCTGGTCCAAGACTGTCTTGTGTCTTGGCACAACAGCCCCAGCTTAGAGGCATGTCCTGAAACGTGGTGGCTAAGCCTGACCCTGTGTACAGGATCAGTTCTGTCAACTAGCCAATGTATTTTACTGTTCTTTCCAAGCTCTAGCCTCAATGGAGTACATGACTCAGGACTCCCGGTAGGTATGTGCAGCCCAGGGTAGACACCCTCATCTAGGAGAGGCAGTGTGTACCCATCAAGCAATTTTACACCAGCCATATCCCTAGCCCCTTTCTTACCACCATGAAGACAGGGAAAGCTTCCACATTGCTTTTCTATTTAAAGAGCTCTCAGAGTTTTACAGAAAGGGAATTTCTTCTTTTAACAACAAAAGCACAAGCCCCAGCCATATTGTGGAGACCAAATAAAGGGTTCCTTAACATCTTCAAATGTGCCAAACACTGCTTCAGGCCATTGGACTGACAGCTTCCTGCCAGGGGTACCAACAAGAGTTCAGAGACCTGGGCTTTTTCCAATACTATTTGTGAGTTTAGGCATATACTGCTTTCTCACCAGTTTCCTAGTCAAAAACAAAACAAAACCAAACACACACACAGAAACCTCTCATCTTAAAGCTACAGCGCATTGTATACCAGGCAGCTTCAGCCCTGCAGCCCAGAGACCCAACTCAAGACGCCTCACTGAGGGAGCCTCACTCAGTAGTAATTAAGTGCTTCAATTTAAGAGTGCTTAGTCACCAAGTTGTCCCTGTCCAGCTCAGCTTAGAGTTGGAGGGACCTACTGAAGTCTGTAAACGCTCCTTTAGAGGTTGATCTTTCTCTGCCTAGTGCTGCTGAAAGCCTTATGTAATACAATGGTCCATTTCAGTACGTTATTTCTGCAATCCTATGGCAGGAAAAAAATTAATCTAACCTCTGGAAATAAGAGTAATATGAGGATTTGCAGCTGAAGCGTCATCTCCTGGAATTTCACTAGGTCAAGCTTATTCGAACAGCCCAATCGTCGTTACAAAGAAAGCAGAAAGCAGGAATAATTCCGAACGTTAAAGGATAGGCTTTAGAAATTCAGGGAGGCAGAAGTTGGGTTATCTCCCGCTGTCTTTTTTTTTTTTTTTAAGCTGGAATTCCTGTAATTTAACCCTTGAGGGGAAGTTGGTAAGTGTAATTCAACAAAATAAGGTGAGATTTGGCTGCAAAGCGAGAACGCAGGAGTAGTAGGACCCAAAGGACTCTCCGTGCGCACGGGCTGCAGTCACAGAAGCTGACCAAGCAAGGGCGCCCAGACGCTAGGGGACTGGGCTGGCGATGGGCTTCCCCGCGAGCGCGTGCTGCGGACTTCCGAGAGCTCTGGCTGACGGAGGAGGAAGGCACGCGGCTCGCTCCTCGATCCCTTGGCCGCACGTAGCGGCTGCTCCCTGCTAGAAAGGAACCGCTCCTGGGAGCGCAACGCGAAACAGTGGTTTGGACTCTCTTCCCAAGAACCCCCCACCCCCACCCCGCCCAAAATCATCTCGGTACAACTAGTGGATAAAAATAGCCGACGGATAACGCTTTGGGAGGAGCGAAACTCGCGCAAGGTACGGCAAGGCCACCACTGGTCCTGCAAAGTGGAGGGGGGCGGGGTGCAGGCCCCCTCCCGAGAAAGGAACCTGGGTGTGCAAAGAAGCACGGCCGCCGGCCGCTGGACGGGGTGAATGGAAGACCCAGCGCGCGGGCAAAGCACCCCGGGGCAAGCCCACTCTTCACGCCGCGCCCTGCATCTCGGCACCTGCTCCCACCCGCGTCACCAAGCCATCCCGGCTCTCGGGATCCGCTGGGGCCAGAAGGCGGAGCAGCTCGCGGCCCGTCGCCTCGCCAGGAGAGCGCACCTGGAGACGTCAGGCTCCGCCAGGGCGCTCCTGGTTCTGAGCGGGGGCTACGTGCTCCCACCGCGGGCTGGCGCCCTGCCTCCCCGCACCCTCATCTGCCACCACCCCGCAAGCGTTTGAAATAGAAAAAGAAGCAGGGGAAAAAAATAGGCGAAAAGTAACGTGAAAAATCAGGATCCTGTGTACTTGGCATTCGGGAAAGGGGTTACTTACGGTCTGTCGCCTCAATGTTTCTCCCTCCCGAGCATCCCCACCCCTGGGAGATGCTCCATGTCTTCTGCACTCCAACCAGATCTAAAGGCAAATCGGACCAAGGTTCCCCGACCCTGGATGCTCTCTCGCCCGACTGACTTGCTGACTGCGTCTCTGCTCTAGATCCCAGCCGGACTGGTACCAGCTCGGCTGCGAGCTGCGCTCCCGCTGGTCGCACCGTCTTAGGGAGAAGCGATGGGCAGGAGCGAAGCTCCGAACTCTCCTAGGGGACCTAAAATCCAGCCCACCAAGTCAGAAACCCGGATACCTGCCGGTAAAAAAAACAGTCCCTCGGGACTTCTGCGGAGCTGAGGGGCCAAGGCAGCAGGAGAGGATGGGAAACCCCGGGTCTCTCTTGCACCCCCAGCATCCACTCCACCTGTCCAGCCTCGACTCACCTTGGGCTTTGCACTTGCCCTACCTAAGCCCGACACGCTAGATGAGGGCACCCTAACGGCCCCTCGTCTGGCCACTCCCCGTTCCGGCAGCCCCCACCCCACGCCCGCCGCACTCACCTGAGCCGCGCCGCGGTCCAGCCGGTCCGGCGCCACTAGTCGGCTCTCGGGCTGGGCCATGGGCAGCGCCGCCGCGCCCCGGCGGCCGGCGGAGCGGGATCCAGACGCCCCGGGGACAGGCAGGCGAGGCTGGGGCGCCGGCACCCACTGAGACCCGTCTGTGGCGGTAGCTCTTGGCTGCTCGTGCGCCGGGGACTTTGCAGGCTGGAGGCTCGGCGAGCAGTCCCACCGAGGGGAGGAGCAGAGGGAGGAGCAGGAGCAGGAGGAGGGGACGGAGGAGGCCGGGCCCTGAGGGGCGAGCGCATGGGCCCGAGGAGGATCGCGAGCGCCCACTGCTGCCCGGCCGGCCCCGGTGCTGCCCCGACTCGGCCGGCGGCGAGCGCTCCAGCCGAGCTCCCGGCTCCAGCCGACAGGTACTGCACTCGGCGGGCCCGCCCCCCCGGAGCTGCGGCTCCTCGGGGTTCAGTCCAGGGGGAGGGACCAGCGCGGCCGGGAGGGTGGGGCCGGGGCTGGGTTGGGGGACTCGACAGTCGCTACAAACCAGGGGCGTCCGGGCTACTCCCTCACCCCTGCAAGAGAAGGGCAGGTGCGAGCCTCGGCGCCCCTATTCCTACACACTCGGGCCGGGGGAGGTCCCCTGGAGCTGCGCCCCTCCCACGTGCGTCGGCACGGCGCGGCCCCTTCCCGGGAGCCGACCCACCTGAGGCGCGGGAGCTCCTGGCGCCGCCCAGGAAGCAGGGGGAGCCGTGCTCCGGAGCCCGCGCCGCAGCCCTGCCGGGGGCCTGGCTAGCAAGTCCGCTGCAGGGCCGCCGGAGCCGGGGCCCGCGGCGCCACTGAACACCCGCGCTGCCTTCGGTTTTGCGGCCCGAAGTGCACGCCGATTTACCCTGGGAGAGCGGAGAATTGCTCTCTGCTCCACGGGTGCACCAGGTTCGCACACGTCAGCTCGGATGTTAAACAGGGTCTTCCCGCCCCCTCCCTGTTCCCCTAGCTGGGAGGTTTGTGTGGGAACTTCACCAGCATCCAGAAGTTCAACTTCAGGTTTAAGATTTCGAAGGGCGCGGGGTTGCAATCTCCGGAGAAACTGGGCTGCCTGCTTACGGGTTTGCCTGAGCCAAAGCAAGTCGCCCCCCAAGGCAGGTCAGCAAACGTTTTTTTATAAAAACAAGGACAGAGGAAGGGAAAGAAAGAAAGGAAAGCCCAATAGCCAAATGAATACCAAAGTTATGAGATTTCAGATCTTCCCTCTCTGAAATACTGGAAGAAGTATTTGGGCGAATTCAAATTTGTCATTAAAGTTTTAAAAATCTTGCATTAACTTTGCTTAGTTTAAGCATACTCTCCTATACAAGGAATCTTTGCTATAGGAAATTTAACCCCTTCAGTACGGATGTTACCACAGCTCTTACAGACAGTGGAACAATGACGAGCATTTTCTGGCGATCTGATAAAGCATCAGGAAAGACAAGACCTCGCCTTATTTTGGAAAACAAGTTTTAGGGGTTATAACGAACTTGTTAACTTTGTACCAGACTAATGTTGACATCCCTCTTTTAGGTTTATATATATAACACACATATTTGTATGTATTTATTATATATTTATTAATATATATTATAAATATATATATATATTCTTACGTATATATGAATTTTTAAAAGCTACTCTCAAGCCCCACTTTGAAAAGCCTTAGCATTTAAATTTACATGAGCTTTTGAAGAATTGCTCTTCTCCCCATTCTACAGAGCTGTGTAAAATCATGTGGCAGGTCAAATGGTGGCCTAAGATAAGACTTAAGGATGCCAATGACTGGTGTCCTTAAGCACCTACTAGCAGCTAAGCCCAGAGCAGATCGTGAGTTCTTCAAAATAGGGAGCGGTTTTGGTGTTCAAAGTTGGATGGTCACTTTTCCTTAAGAGTTCAAATTACTTTTGTGCCAATGGTCTAATAAATCTCACAGCTTATTTGTGAGATGCAAAGAATGCTGGCTGTGATTCCGTTTATCCCTGGCAGCTAAAGACAGGTTGACCGATCTGCGTAGTTCCCCATCCCAAGTCCTAAAGAGGAACTAGTATCCCCCAGGCCTCAGCCCTGAGTTCTGTTGGAAGCTTCACTTGACATGCAGGGACTCCAAACTGAACTGGCAAGTGACAAGAATTTGAGGACTGAAATTTTAGCTTCTCTCATTTTTTAATTTCAGCCAATGTTCACTGATCAATGATCAATGTTCTTTTGTGTAGATAAAAATATTAATTGACTTTTTGTTCTTACTTAGTTTTATGTCTCTGTCAAGACATTTATCATTTCTCCTAGAGAACCTTCCCTGACCTCTCTGGGTATGTTAGGTTTCTTAACCAGCACTCAGCTCTGCTGTGATAATGCAAACGCCCTATTAAAAACACCTGCTTAGAGATCTGTCTTCTCTGCAAATTTAGAAGTGTGGGAATCACTGTGGGATCTGTAAGAGAACTTACTGCTCTCTCCCCAGAACCTTACAGGGTATCTGAAACAGTGTATGCTGAAACAAAAAGGTTATAGGCTGAAGTTCCCTCAAGGGGTCATGGTTTAGGTCAGACATGCTTCCATGTCAAAACTGTCAGTCTAAGAATGGAGGAGGCTCAGATGACAGAGTGGTAGTCAGCGGAATGGCTATTACTCCTCCATGTGTGGCCTAAGACTTTCTTACTTAATGTCATCAGCTGGAAAATTAGAATGTTTTAGTAGATAATCTCTGAGCTGCTAATGTTCAAAGACAGCAAAGTCTTTATTGAGCACCTAATACGTGCTTAGTCCCGTGCCAGGTGCTGAGCAAGAGATGGAAGCATCTCCATTCCTTCCCCTAAGGGAGCAGAAAATCTTACCTCAAGGAGAAACAAGAGTGACCCCCACAACTTGTCTTTATTGAAACTCACCGGCATCAATTAAGTTGTGAACTGTGTTCTCCAGAAGAAAAAGGCTGAAAGAGTGAAATGAAAGCAAAAGCAACTGGCCTGTGAGTTCAGTCAACAGTCAGGAGTAATAGTTGAGATTTTTTTTCAAGGCTTTTGTGCCAGGTGCTCTGTAAAATGAATTACATGAGTTACACATTTTGTTCAGGCACCAGTCTTCTTAGAGACTATGATTTCCTCATTTTACAAAAATCATGATGTGAGTGAGTAGAAATAACCAGGCCACCAGGGGTAGAAGTGGGTTTAGCCAAGGCAGCTACCCTTCCAGTGAAAATTAAACTACTCGCCCAGTGCTCTCTGCAATTGAGTGGTTTGCTTAAATTTGCTTTTGTTATTTCTGTTTGTTTACTTTCTCCCAGATATGTGATGGAAGAGAGAGGTCAGAGCTCAGGAGGAAGGTGGATGGGGAGAGAAAGAAAAAGAGAGCTTGCTTCTTCTGTAGGTGTTCAAGATCTCCGGCCAGTCTGCCTGACTGGCCTCCATGTGATTTCATCTGTAACTCCTGCCTGTGGGCCTTTCCTCCCATAATAGCCATTTGAATCTTTCAGGTTAATAGCATGAATATTAAGGAGTCCAGTGGGATTCTTTGTAAGTAGAGAAAATTGGGATCAGGTTAGAAAATCCAATTTTAATAAACTTTCCAAGTCCTGATTTAGATGGTGTACTAATGGCGCTGACTGCTGAATCATCTTGAAAGTCACATGTATTTTTTAAAAGGGCCTTGTTGTACGTGAAGCCTGTTGGGTACTGTTTAGTTATACACTGTGCATTCCTGTCCTCATATTAAAAAAATTATGTGCAAAACTGATGAAAGCAGATAGGAAATGTCACTGTCCATGGAGCTGGTAGGGTAGAGGGCAGGGGCATTGGGTTTGAAAGATAATTTTCACTCATTTGACCAAAACAAAGAGAGCCTGATTACACTGTGTGAAAATGGTGTCCTCAGATAACTCCGCTAATTTGATTGCGCTGAGGTCTGGAATTGTTTCTGTTTCTTTTGATTTGCTAATTGGCTAGAGCAGTTGACTTGTGAGAGGAAATGAAGGGTCCTATCCAGAAAGCACCAGGATCTTGGTGCCTTCCAGCTCAGCCCACCTATCACATGCCTCCCCTGACCAACATCTTTATGTCCTTGAAAACAGTCCGTCCATCTATGATTAACAGATTGTTTGATGTTTTTCCAACAACAAGATTTTTATCCCCTTTGTGGCACCAGATTTACTCTCAGCATGTGTGCTTATAGGGTTGAGTTATAACATTTGCCTTTGCAGGACTTATTCTGCACCAAAATAATTAATGAAAGAGTAAAAATTTTACTTCATGACTGCATTAATGTAAAGATTAATATACTATTCTTACTTATTTTGGTATTTTTTAAGATAAAAGCTCTTTTTTTTCTCCTGATTTTAAAAGAGATTAAAACATTTTTCAGAGTCTCTGAAAGTACTGTGGGCTCCAGTGACTTCTAAAGGAGAGATCAGCCCTGTGTGAATGATTATTGCAGAAGGTGAATGCTTAATTGATTCAGGTGAAGTGCGTATGGTAAATGCCATGTCATACACATATCTCACAGTCCACTTGTGCTGGATAAACAACTCTGCACAACTATTGCTTTTATTGCTGATCCTGCGTCAAATTTTGCCCCAAATTACACACATCAGTGCTGCCAAAATTGCAATATTACAGGCCTGAAGTGGTCCCCTTGTTCATATTAGGCCCCGCAGAGCGCCAGAATGCCTCAGGGCAATGGAAAGTGTAGCTCTGCCTTTGATTTTACGTTTGCGGGTACCAAAGCTGACTGATGCTTTGATGGGCAGGTCTTGCTGATTTTCTCTTTCAGGTCTTCTTCAAGGATACTGGTAGGTTCAAACTCTTCAAAGAAAAAAAAAATTCTCTCCAGCCACATCAGTTGAGTTGAAACTGGGGATGTCCTATATAGCAGCTCTGTGGTAGGTGGATGGGCGGAGATTTATGGACAGGAATAAAATGTAACCCCTTAACCTGGAGGAGCTCGCAGACACATACCAACAGAAAGATTGCAATTCAATCTGGTAATTCTCATGAGCTCCCGGTTCTCTTGTGTTCTAGGAAGTTCAGGGCGCCCTGGGACTCTGATTCTCACACTTGCCCCTCCTACCTGAACCTCAGCTTCAAGCAGCCCAGAATATTCCAGCAGCGCCCCCTCTTGGAGTCCCACTGAAGTTCTCTGGAGTGTGGCCCCTTTGTCCTTGAAAACTGACAGTGTTGCCTTCTCTCTTCTAAGCCTT